AAAAACAAACATGCCCTGTTGTCTCAAGAAAAAAATGCAGAAGGAAACATCCATGTAAACTCAGTGTGCTGCTCTGTGATGCTAGTTTAAGCCAGATACTTGGCATCTCATCTTCGGTGCAAGTTCATCAATGTTTGGGCTCAGGCTCTGAGCTGAGGAGACCCTCAGGATGGAGTGAAGGTGTGCGTGCAATATACCGGTGGGCCAGATCTAATAGTAATTTAAAATGATCCTGCGGCCAAAATTAAATCCACCAAGGGCCTGATTTGGCCCCCGGGCCTTGAGTTTGAAACATGTGCACTACAGGAAAGGGAATACCTCTAAAAGCGTAATACAGCCTTATTTAATGGTGTGTACAGTTCTGTCACTCACTATTGCCACTATACTACTCTGAAGCGAAGTGAATTCTGTTTGCTCTTTTGTTCAAAAACACCAAAACTCAATTCTTCATATCAAACAAGAAGATGCTAAATTACAGCAATTGGCTCATGTTAAAACCCTAGTAATTATGCATTCAGTTTGGATTTACATATTTTGGATCTATTTAATTCCAAAATCAGAGGTTTTATTGGCATTATGGCCATTTCTCATTGTGTCTACTCCTGACGTTTGATTCACAGTAATTCCAAAGCAAATTTGCATGGTGGTGGGTGTACAGCTTCACATCTATTACATTTAATATATACAGTATATAGGCCAAACCGTTATTGACAAAGGAAATACAATACATACTCAACATTTCAACTGAACATAAGCCATGGTCAAATTTGGTCGGATTTGGATGGATAAATGTTTATCTTATCTTTCATAAAATCATACAGAGCTTCGTGCAACATCTTTACTCAAGTACTTGAAAAATGCTGCCAAACACTGAGGCCATGCAGACTATTCTAGCAAGTGTTAAGCGGAACCTGATGTCTAATGCGGTCAGACAAGGACTCTGCAGCTTTTAAAGCCTTAACACGAGTTGAGTGATGATGACAACAGTAAAGAGAGCATGGTATTAATTCTGGCAGCGACTGAACTTGAGCACACCATTACAGTTTACTTTTAATAACCCCCAGTCACATCCAAACAAGTAACCACTTAGTGTCAGTTGAAGCAGGCTGAGACTGCCAAGGCACACANGATGTGATTTTTTTATTTTTTTTAGTACGTTCGATATTAAGTAGGTAAATTAACTCAAACACGTCTCCTTTTCTAGCAAGCAGCAAAATAATTTTAACATGACGTGTTTGAGTTAATTTACCTACTTAATATCGAACGTACTAAAAAAAATAAAAAAATCACATCGCAGCATGCGCATATCGCGGTTATCGCCATGACACGATATATCGTTCAGCCCTAACTTGCACCCAAGATGAGATGTCAAGTATCTGCTTGAACTAGCATCACAGAGCAGCACACTGAGTTTACATGGATGTTTCCTTCTGCAATTTTTTTCTTGAGACAACAGGGCATGTTTGGTTTTTTCTTTGAGGGAAATAGTTTTGTTGAAGCTGTTGGCCTGTGGGAAAAAAGGAATCATAAGAAATGACTCTGCAGATATAGCCATAAGAAATGAATGCAAATGATTATTTCATGTTTAATGTTGTTTTTATAGGCAATCATTTAAGCTTTGTTAGTTCCAGGTTTAATATGTGCAATAAGTTCATTTAAAAAAATTCTGCAATAAACATTGAACCAGTCCGGCCCTCGATTAGTACCGTTTTTGATTTTAGCCCACAGTGTATTTGAGTTTGACACCATTGATCTACATCATCCATTTTTTATTTATAAAAATACATATTATTCAGTCAGTCTTAGATTAAAGCTACTCTGTGGAGTTTTTCAACACTAAGGAGCCATGTTTTTACATAAGGGTACCCATTTAGAACTGTAGTAAACACCATGAAAACTAATAAAGAAAAAGAATAAAAAGAAGGAGATAAGATAAGGTAAAAAAGTCCTTTTAAGCTTAGTTTCCATTCATTCAAAGAGGATTTTTGTAAAACATCAGATCACAATTCGGTTCTATACAAGACATAAAGTTTAGTTTGATGCACAGATGAAACTTTGAACATATATTTCAAAGCCAATATGTATATGATTTAGAGTAACATGCTGGTGGAATTGCTAACACATATTGTACATGTTGCTTTCAACTATTTGTGGTGGTGTTATTTCCCTGGGGGATGTCAGAGTCAGAAATGTTCAAAGTGCACACATAAGGACTTTGAATGAAAATCAACTAGGTCTGTAGAAAAACCTTAGTCACCATTCCTCAGGCGATAACCGTGCTTTCAATTTATAGTTTTTCTATAGACTTGGCCTGCAACACCAATAATACACACTCCATCAATCCAAAGAATGTAAACATCATCATCAACATCCAGTTTTAGTTTCACGAGACGTATCATGTTTTTGTGATGTGTAATGTCATCCCACAATATTTCACTACACCTCTAATTAAAGACAAATGGCTCGTCTATGTTTGTCTGTATGTGTGTGTGTTTTTATCTAGTCTTTGGGTGTGTGGCATAAAGCAAAGCACTGTGGAAGAAACAACTCTCTTCAGCGCTGGAATGACTCCAGTTTTTTTAGATTAAAACCGCGATGACAGAAACACAGAAGCCTATTCATCATTGTGATGTGTCAGATCTGCCTCGAGAACGACAAGCTTTGAGGAGTGAAACTCTCCCTCTGCTCCTCCCAGTTTAATAGATGTACAGAGGGCTGTGGGATGTTCTGCTATCTCACCAAGAGGTACCCATAAATCCCTGGGCTGGACCTGTCCACTGTGGCCTTTTATCTCGGCAATAAAGCCCAGCTGCTGCCCTCCAGTGTTAACACAAAAAACACCCTGCCACCCGCTCTCAGGCTCTAATCGCTCTAGCAGACGACCCCTGATGGCAAACAAAGAAAACAAGTATTACATTGTGATAGAGAATTATTTCACTAGTCACCTTCTATTAATCCTTCACTTCTTTCCTTGCCTCAGCTCATGTTTCTCTGTCTGTACAGGCAGCAGGCATTTGGCCTTGAGTGCCCTATTGGATGAAGTTTAGCTGGCGCCTGTTTTCTCAGGATCTCTCCATCAGTTGTGTTAAGAGATGACATCCACCTTACTTGTGAATATGCATAATGCAAGGTTGTCAACATTGTCTCCTTCAGATAATGATAGGATTTCATTATGCAATATGCTCTATACGTTAGAGACCAAGGCCTCTGGAAGCTGTTACTATTAAGAAATGTAACTGGTTATGTCTGTCTGTCTGTCTGAGTGAGGGTTTGATAACTACCTTTCTGTGGGTAATAATAGCCATTTAGGGGAAAGAGTTGTTTTGGCGAGAGGCTCTGACACTACAGTGCTAGTGTGCTACAGCAAATGGCCTTTTCCATTCTCCCGCTGTAAATTCCAATAAATCAGTGTTCAGTGACATCAGTTCAAAGCTCTCCTGTTTTTTTTTCTTTTCCTCAAACTAATATAAAACATCATTGTAAACGTTATTTACTTCTGCATATCAGTTTGAAAATATTTACTGATGTGCATTTATGGACGCTGCGAAAAGCTGTCCCAAAACCTCACACTGATGGAAAATAATAAACAAACATGGACAGTGTGAAAAGAATGGTATGAAGTTACTGATTTGTTTTAACAAAATGGGTCACTGTTTCTTTATACAGTAGCTGACACAGCTGAATCTGACTTGTCTAACCATAACCATAAGTGCACCAACATATGTGCTGGGTTTCGGATGATTTTGCTCAGAACTAGACTGTACACAACACAGGCAGTTTGTACTGTTGGTCTTAAAACAACCCCATATAATAAAAAAGGGGTACCACAAGGTTCTATGCTGGGTATCTATACTCTTGACAACAGCATTAAAATCACAATCCACCTTTAAAAGGTCTTTAGACATCTCTGCATAATTTCAAGCCCACACTAAAAGCTGGCAAAGCAACATCTGTTTTATTTTCAATAACCATTGATTCCAATTTGCCATCCCATCCATAAATTAGGACAACCTTTTATCTTAGTGTGTGAAGTCAGTGGAGCTCAGTCTACATTTGATAAATACAACTGTTAAGAGTCATGGGGAACAAAGGGAACTACTTATAGAACAAAAAGGAACAGAAATCCCCAGCAAAGCAGATTTTCCTTTGAGAGCTCACAACTCTCTGTGCTAATCAGATGGAAAGCCTGACATGTAAAATCCCTGGATGAAGCGCAGCAGAAACCCCTTCACCTACATAACCCGATCATGGAACCTTAATCCTATAAAGAATGTCTGCAGCTACGATGAGACGTCAGAGTAATCTACAAGGAAAGCCTGGCCTGCCATCGCTGTCTCTCCATTAGTGGTGCCAAGTTTCTAAGTTTATCGCTGTATTATATGAATAGCCCAGTCAAAATAATGAATCTCTCAACAACCTATAATAAGCCACTTCATTTACTTCTATCACACTTTAATACCTTGACTATTAAGCTCTATTTGATGACATTCGGTCAAATGTTTTACACTCATATTAGCGTTGTAGACAGAGCGTGTGAAGCAAGACTGTAACCCTTTTTTCTGTGTGGCCACTACTGTTACAGTAATTACAGGATAGCGGCACATTGAATCTCCCTGCTGCATTGTGAGCGTTCCAGTGGCATCTAGCTGTGACGTTGCAGATTGCAATCAACTGCATACCATTCTGATTACCCCTCTCTTTTCTAAGCGTTATGAAGAACCCATGGTGCCCGTTAGGTAACACAAAAAGACGAGAAGCCCTCTCTAGCGCCAAAGTTAGTTAGCCACCTCTCAAACACAAGGTACTCCTTGAAACATATTCTGCTTCATAATCCATTTACATTTCCAAAATCAATAAGGTGCAATTTTGAAGAGGACCTCAAACAATCAGATGAGACCATACACTCCGAAAGCAAATGTAACTCAGATGAATTTTCTCATAGAGAATTATTAGACAATCCAAGTATAAGGCCCTTTCCTATTGGCTTCACTTTTACAACAAATGGGGAGCAATACATTCATTTTTTTCTATCATCTATGCCGTGTTTTTGTCTCACCAACTGTGCTGGATGGCTGCACTGATCCAGCTCTATCCAGAGACTTCTGCTTCTTGTCTTTATCTTTCTCCCTGCGTCTATGGCAGCGGTGGTGGTGGTGATGGTGGTGGGCTCTGTCCTGGTCCTGGATCTGACCTGGGCCCGTCGGGGACTGAGCCAAGCCGGGTCGTTCCAGGGCATACTCCCTCAGCCCGACCTCCTGGTAGTGCTGCGGCATCAGCGAGGAGGCCGAGCGCTTGATGGGACTCAGGTCCACAATCGGCTGAGAGGGTAAAGAAACATGATGATGAGTAGGAAGAAAAGAAAAGGAGAGGGGCGGCTGTGGTGGTTACACCAAAACCACTTAGACTGGATCAACAAAATAGCCACAACACACAAACGACACAACCAGTGCACGGTTGTCTTAAGACTGACGTTCTACCCGTTCTTCTCTACGCACAGATGTAAGAATAAAGTGAGAAGAATGAACACAAATCTGTGACAAAACTTGAATACTTACCGTTACAGCACTTCTGTAAGCTAGCAGTAATCTCTGCTAGTCAACAAATGAGGGGGGTTGTGGACATGGGCCTTTGTAGCATATGTTGACTTATTTCTGACTTAAGTTTACTTTTCTGTAGCAGCTAATACTTGCTTATTTACCAAAAGGATGATTCCACTAAAACATGTAAAGATGTCATACTAAATATAATTCAATATTGTTTTTATCACTATGACTCACTTGGATGATGAGTAACCCATCTCCCATATCACATTGTTTTAATATAGTCATGTGATATTGTTATTAAAAAATAAGAGATGGATTATGTTTGGCTTTAAGTATTCAGTGGTGACTTCCCTTAAAATCTTGCATAAACCAATCATTCTCCATAGATGTATACTGGCACTAATGCTTTGAGGACATTGACCTTCACCCCACCTCATCTGGTCTGACTGACAGTGCAACCAGCAGGCAATAGACTGATGTAAGAAGGAACTGGAACAGCAGCTAACTTACCACCCCACCTGGTGGCTACTGCATGGATCATGTCTGATTATCTTAGGGAATTGTTTTTCTTTCATGAATTTAGTTTCCAAAAGTATCAGTACATATTCAGACAGCTTCACATTGCGTTGAAAGTGCATCTATGTCAAGTTATTATAGGAACTTTGGAAAGCCAGTATATAACGCAGACTATATTTCATTAACAGACATATTTAGAGTGGTTGTGCTGTTCCTCATGTTCCCACCTCACAGCCTGGTCTGTAGCTATAGTCAGAAACAACAATATCACAACACTTTGGAAAATATCCATGTTAACAAGTCATTGTATATAGTATGCAGTCTTAAAATCTTAATTATCAGTTGAATTGCTTGAATTGCTAGTAAAATAAACCCCCCTTTTCTTTCAAACTACTAAAAGGAGTCTGAAAGTGAGGTTCAGTCAAAGGGTCAAGTGATAAATTAGACTTTGCTTTTGTATTTGTGTGCTCCAAAAAGATTTTAAGACTGAACGTAACATCAAATGACCGATAAGGTTAGACGTATTTTATGGTTTAGTTAGAAGAAAAAGATAAAAATAGTTATTTCAAAGCAAGAAAGCAGCAGTACTGTCTCCGCCTTGTTCCAAAATCACACACAGACTCACAAAAAGACACTACTACATAATGAAACTCACATCCAGTACACACCACCACATTTTACTGAAGTGTAATACTGTACTGTAATGCAAATATATGTTTTTCGATTCCATGTAATGACAGGAATATACTGTATATGTAGGAGGATGTGAACTCTGCACTGATATGAGAGGAACGCATGGAGGCAAACACAGACATGACAGAAGAAGAAGAAGAAGAAGAAGAAGAGGGTGTAGGAGGAGACGAGGAGAGGAGGAGAGAAGAAGAAGTGAAAGAGTGAGGTGGTACAACAGGTGGTACATACTGCCAGGTGGGTCCCAGGGGCGTGGCGAGGGTGGCTCCGCTATCAGACAGCACACACAAGAGGGAGGTGGGCAAACATTAGCAGTGGGCATCAAATCAGAGAGGGAGGACAGAAGAGGAGAGAGGAGACTCAGGAAGCATGAGGCTGGTGAAATTCTGTATTTAATTATTAACAATAAATACTATGACAAGACCAAAATCAACACTGTGTTTATCCTTGTAATAAAAAGTGTCAAAGACTGAGACACGTATTTCCTCCATCTGCCAAAAAGCTCACCTGTTTCCCAAAAACTATTAAAACACATTGTTGGGCCAGACTGGGTAAAATGCTACTTTATTACCATGAAGGCATTCACATTGTTTGCTCAAACATACTCTATGCTGTTAAAATAGTAACTGACGGACTGGAGTTAAGACAGGAAAAATGCGGATTGAAAGATTTCCCTGACAAATATGTTTTTTCTGTCTTATTTGTGTAACATTTGCTAAAAACTAAAGTGCCCAGCTTTTCTATGAAATAGTCAAAGTTAAAATCTGAAAGATATCAGTGTTGTTCTCTTTTACTGCCCTGATGAAGACAAACAATGTTTCATCCGACTTGTCATTAAAGCTCTTTTATTTGTTTCTCCACCATAGTAACTGTTAAAATACAAGTATACGACTTCAAAAACGATTGAGTTAAAGAACATTCCTGTTGTGTTAGCTCCATATCCCCCACTGGGTCATGGAAAACAAATACAAAGGTGCATTTATACCAAAACACGGTGGTCCTGACATCAGCCATTGTGTGTCCTGAGTTGGTTAGACATTTTTTACCCATCAATATCACCACTAGCTCTAATACTGCAAATGCATTGGGCTTCCATTAGTGGTTCCATTAGTTTAAATATTTACATAAAGAAGGACTTTACACACTGCTGGTTTTGGTCTTGTTATGGCATTTGTTGATAATGAAAAAATATGTGGAATAAATGCAGCCTTTTTCTTGAAAAGAGAATAGAAAGAGTAAGAGGTCAAAATGCAACATAAGGAAAGCACATGTTAAGTGCGTTGGGACAAAAACACAGAGAAGCTAACAGACAGGTGAGACGGTCCAGGAGACAGACAAGTGACAGACAGAAAAATCATCCTGACATGAAACAAATATGCAACAGACAAGAGCCGCTGGTAACTCACAGAATGACAATGAAAGTTAAACAAGTATCAGAAGACAGTAAGTGAAACTCATTTAAATCAAGGGATATGCTCAGATGATTAATTAGAATGCAGTTGAGTTTGAGTATTGTATGAACTATAACAGAATATGATAATAATCCAACCGAAGACATTTAAAACATTATAAAATAACATCCATAAGATATCTAAGATAATTATCTCACTCTGACATTAATGCATGTTATGTGTTAACATGCTCAGGATACCTCGATGAGGTTCAATACTTACTGTAACATGTGGAAACAGTATCTGTAATCGATCAAATTATTTTCATTCTCAATACAAAAGGACTTAATGAATTAAAACACTGTGGATATGGTGGAACATTTCAATTTTTGGGACTACTTCATATGATAAGCCTCATAACCCTAAACGCAGAACGCAGAACACTTCTCATAAAACCCTAAAAGATGGAAAAAAGTATTTTTTCCCCTAAATGCAAAATAAATATAAAAAAGTCTGTCCCTTTGTGTACATTTGTAAAAGTTGGCACACTGTTTAACCAGCATTTGATTTGTTTTGTGTCTTTTCATAACTTTATTATACAAATCAACACATTCACGCATCCTTTGCCGAGTCGATCTCTATCCACACTGTGGATATGGTGGAAAATAATATTTAGATTTTTGAGACTACTTCATATGATAAGCCTCATAACCCTAGCTGCACACGGTACTAAACGCTGAGCATCGAGTGTGGTATTGATCTTCTGGTGCAACCCTCAAAAAAAATGGAAAATAGGTATCTTATCCCCTAAATCCAATCTAAATATCAAAAACAGTCTGTCCTTTTGTGTACATTTGTAAAAGTTGACACACTGTTTAACCAGCATCAGATTATTTTTTTGTGTCTTTTCATAACTTTCTAATACAAATCAAATCAACACATTCAGGCATCCTTTGCTGAGTCGATCTCTATCCTGAGTTTCCTCATCTGTGATAAATGTGAAGTTGTCAGAGAGGAGAGGTGGTGCGGGGGTCAGCAGGAGGATGAACTGATGTGGACTGACGGAGCAACAGAGAGGCTCACCGCTGCTTCACTAAAGGGCTACCACTCAGTATTGCGCCAGCCTTTTTTCAGCCTACCTCATCCACCTGTTCAACTGCCAAACACGAACATTTCTATCATTTTGTAAGTCATGTTTTACACCTCAGAAGCCACTGTTAGATGATTTCTCAGGTATTCCACGCCGCTGTAAAGCTTACGTAGTACTCAGCGTTGAGTCTGGGCAGAGAAGCCGCTCTGCAGTGGCCCTCCAGGCTCGGATATGCCTCTGAGTCAGAAACGTCCTCCACCTTCGTCAGCTCAACGAATTCCTGCATGAAAAAAGAACATGTAGTACAGTGTATGGGGTTAACACAGAACAATATAATGTAAAATAATATTTGAAGATAGAGTTTCCTTGGAGTACCTGAGGTCTGGTGGTGTAGGGAACATCCTCTGACTGGCCTCTCTGTAGTTTCCTCCGGACTTTGGGTCTCTGTTGTGCCATCTGAGAAACGTCTCCGGACTGGGAATGTTTTATGACCCTCGTCTGGTTTAGCCTGTTTACAAAAACACAAGAGCTCTGACTGTAATATTGGCAGCTAAACAGCATGAAGGATCATATTTAAACTGAGGAAACACCTTTCTTAGTGTCAGTCTAAACTGTTTAATAATGAAGATGGTTTCCCTTTTTTTCATTTCCACGTGTTAAAAACAGAAGTAAAAATAATAAACGAATTGAACACAATTCCTATATATTGCTAAACATATTGTCTTGTACCTAAAGATTATTTTACATTAGGAATACAAAAAAAAGCTACACATATGTTGTGGATATATTTTGTTTCTTCTGTATAAGACGTATCGTACGGTAGCCCTGAGAGGAAAGTCAGAATTTATTTTTGCTAAATTAAGTCTAAACAGGACTAAAAGCATATAATTGTCCCTGCAGGTGAGTTTTCATTTCTCTAGGCACTGCAAAAACAAGGTGAACACAGAATATATGTGTGACAGTTACTTACGCTGTGTCCCTGCTGATGGAGGGGATGCTGGTACTGGGCAGTGCCACTAGCTTGGTTTCTGGCGCAGGCTGGGAGGGGCTGGGCTGTTTGGGGAAGGGGAACGTTGGTTCTACTTCCTTTATCTGAGTGAGGGTCAGCACGGGACGGAACAGCGTCCCGAGTTTACTCTGCAGGACAGATTGACAACGTTTATACACACTGAAAGAGATCCGTTCTTACAAAAGGTCAAATGTAGTTTTACTTAAATGAAAAATAAAAATCCTCTTTCTATGTATTTTTATTTAGTCTCGTATTCAGCTTTCACAACTCAATTTGGTTGAAATAAGTTTCCCTTTATTTGAAAAATCACATCAATGATGCATGTTGCTGAATCAGTCAAAGGTAATCTCTTAAAAATAGTTTATATATATATAGTTATATATGCACACGTGTATATAAAGCAATCTCATCCAGTTATAAAATGTATTGTACGTTTTCTTTCTCAATTGTACAATACAGATTATGACTAAAACACAGTCAAGATGAACATACAATAATCAATTACAATATTTTCCAATCACCAAAAATCCAAATAGGTAAACAAAAAAGACTTGAGAATTTCATGAAACTATGACATTTGGGCTACCACAAAGCCTGATTATGAAACAAGGTATTAGACTTACATTTGGTTTGATTCAGGAGTGTCTTAAATGAGACTATATGGAATTAACTGAAACTGTAGATGATGCATCTGCTCCTAAAATACAGTATAATGGAGTTATATCTTGTTATTCTTGATTCAGTCAGCACTAGAACTTCTTATCACGCTGTACCTGAGGTAAGCCTGTGTTGTTCTGCTGCTGGAGTCTCTTGGCACAGGTCTGCTTGTAGTAGTCAAAGATCATCAGAGCTGCGTAGACCTTCCCCACCGTCAGCTCGTTGTCTGGGGGAGAGGGGAGAGGGGAGAGTTAGAGGCAGTTCATACAGGTGGCCAGAAGATGGCGCCATGTGATCAACAACATAGGTCTCAGAGAGAGCCACAGATGTGTGTAAAGGATAAAATGTTTTTCACAGAGAAAACTATTTCTGACAGCCTTAGAAAATAGATCACAATAATTGTTTTGCTTCTCCATGCTTCCATAGATTATTTTATATTATTTAAATAACAGATAACAATGAGTAGATAGGAGGGAACATTTTTGAAATAACCACCATGGCCCCTAGTAGACACACATAACAACACAACTGTGTTGCTCTGTGTGGGGGGGTCTACTAGGGGCCATGGTGGTTATTTAAAAAATATTACATTTAAATACTTTTCTTTTTTAAATACCTCTTTTTGTTAAATACCAACTATCAGAATCAGAATCCTTTTATTAGTCCCACAGAGGGGAAATGTACGTTGTTACAGCAAAAAAAAAAAGATTAAAAAAAAGTTAAGATATAATATAAAATATTATAAAAAATGTAAAGTTACACAATTTACAAAATACACATCCTGTAACAGTTCTTAGGATTGAGCAGCCAGGTATATATTGCATAGTATATGTGCAATATGTGCTATATATATATATATATATATATATATATATACTAGGGGCCATGGTGGTTATTTCAAAAATATACATATATATATATATATATATGCCGATAATAACTGTGCAATATATACCTGGCTGCTACATCTTCAGAACTGTTACAGGATGTGTATTTTGTAAATTATTTGTATTTAATATGTTCTTTATGCATGCTTCTTAGTTAACATTAAGCTGTCTTTGGCTCTTTTCTGCTGTAACAAATGTACATTTCCCCAGGTATTCTGATTCTGATTCTGAAAGGGTCAAGTGGACAACAACTCACATTTGGGTGGGGTCACCAGCAGGTCGACGGTCTTCTGCGACAGGTTGGGCCACACGCGGGCGATCTCCCGCTTCAGGTCAGCGTCGCAAAGATGCTGCGCCAGGACCCCTGAGGATGGGCCCACAAACATGTCACATGTCACTCTGCACCACAGCCTTCACAGATTTAAAATCAGAGCCATCAGTCCAGCCACGAGGCATTCTGGATCTGTAGTTTTTGGCGCTCACCAGAAGCCAGTTTGATCTCCAGCGCCGTGCGGATCAAGGCCATCAGCGTGGAGGTGAAGTGCACCGTCTTGTCCTCCGCAATGGGCATGTTCATCCTCACCAATCGCTGAGAGTGGTGGGAGCAAAGAGGAGGGACCATGAATCAGGAACACAGAACCAACAGCACATTAGAACTGAGGCTGGATTAAATAAATAACTACAGTAGAAATTAGTAGTTTTAAAACTAATTCTTATTCTTTAAATAATAAATGAATGAATGATTTTGGTCTTAAATGATGTCAGTTTGTCATCAGTCACCCTACCAGTAACAGTTACCATAAAACAACTGGTGGAAAACCCCTATATAGTTACGAGTAAGGGTTGCAAGGAGTGACTATTTATATTAACACATTTTGGTTCTGATGACCATCTTTTGTCTTTTAGTCTACAAAAAATAATGAAAAAAGTCCATCCCAACTTTTTATTTCGTTAGTCTGACCAATAGGGTGAATCCCAAAGATATTTAATGTACATGATATGAAACAGAGAAAATCATCATATTGTCACATTTGAGAAGTTGGAAGCACTGAATCTTTGATTTAAATCTAAATATTTCATAATAATAATAATAATGATTTAATTTAAGTTTCCCTAAAATGTCTTCTAAATTAGCCAATGCATCTTTTTAAGCCAATGTAAAGGTTTCTGCCAGGGTGCCCACCATACACCTTGTTTAAGCTGAGAGCAGTATGAATCCATGAATGCATGGAGTTTAAAGCTGCTGCTGCCGTTGCCCTGAGACTTTTGCAAATCCATCGAAAGCATAGCCTTTTCTGCTAAAAGCTGAAATATGATTCCCTTGCGATGCTTACCACTGTGCGCTCAGAGAACATGCTAAGCTCTCACTGCTGCTGGAGAAATGCAGCAGCACGTTTTTGTTCTGAAAATAATGACTTAGAAGAGAAACAGGGAGGTTGCTGCTGGACAGGATCAAACTGTTACTGTACTTAAGACGCCAACAAGATAAGGTCTCATCTTTACTCACATGTCAGATGTAGACTGACTGAGTTATGGGTGGCTGTAATCTCTGCTCCTCTCCAAACAAACTGTACGGCTACACTGTCAAAGATAGGGTGGAAATCCACATTCATTGCTCGTTGTGAAAATGTATTTTTAAACACTGTGAGAGATCCCTCCTTAAGTCTGCTAAATCAAACTGCTGAGGCCTTTCATTAGCTTTAACTGAACTTTAAAATGTGTGCACAGAATGAAGATTGTTCAGGAAAATGATATAGTGTCGTTAAAATAATGAAATTCTTCCATTCAACCATTTCCTATCAATGTATGTCCTGAAAAATGAAACCTGAGTTGGTTTTAGAACATTATTATTGTCAACAATTTTGATAAGGATTGAGTAATTTATCAATCAAACATCTACCATTTCTCCAATGTGAGGATTTGTTGCTTTGCTTCTGGTTTATATCAATAGAAATTGGAAATCTTTGGACTTTTTTCTGACAGTTTGTAAACGAATGGATTTATTATTTAATAAAAAAAAGACTTGCAGCCACAGAGGCTTATATTTATTTAACCACTATTTCTACATTGGACTTCAGAACTCAAAATGCATCAGGCATTAGTTTTGTAAAAGTAAAAAGCTATCAGCATAAATCCACACCATGCAGGGCTTTGGATCAATGCTTCATTAAAATGATTCACACACACACACAAAAATACACACATGCATGTTTGAGTTAGTGCAACACATTGACAGTGAGGCAGGGGGGGCGGGTAGACACATGTGCTGGATATAGAACTTCTAATTAAAAGAAATAAATGAAGAGCCGAAGGCGGAAGAAAAGACCATCAGAAACATTTGAATAAAAAAAGGAGAAGGGTAGCTGATGCTTTCCATTCTCTTTAAGCCGAGATGAGGGGACAGACACAAACATACAAGATGAAGGGATGGAGAGATGAGAGGAGGAGGATTAACTGGAAAGCATCTATGCATGTGAGTCTTCCATCCTTTCATAGAGAGTAAGAATGACAATTGCAGATCTTGAGCATCAGAAAAAATAGAAACATGAAAAAACACCTATGCATGCTTGACCCCACACACACACACACACACACACACACACACACACACACACACACACACACACACACACACACACACACACACACACACACACACACACACACACACACACACCTTCAAGCAGGGAAGTTAGAGGAAGGAGAGGAAATAAATCCCTAGAGAGGGTGAAAGAAACATCATCCAAAGCAGAGAGTGAAGCTTAGGCCTGAAGACAGAACGTGGAAATGGAAACAAGAATGTGACGAGGAAACTGTGACTGTCAGGGGAAGATGTGTTCATAAGGGAGGGAGGGATGGAGGGAGGGAGGTTAACAAAGTGGTGGATGGCGAAATATAGAAAAAATATAGATGGACATTTTTAACTGGGGCGAGGGCAGGACTGCCTTAAATGTGATTCATGTGGACAGCTGCGTGGGCGCACGGCAACCATTCACATACTGTAAAGCCAGCATGCTGAGAGGTAAACAGCTGGCTCAGGGACTACCTGAGGATCGTTGACTCTACTCGAAGAAAAGTCTTATATTTAATCATGAAATAAACTATTCAAGTCAGAGCAGAGGCTGCTGAGGAGACGGGGAGAATGTTTTTAAATGACTAGCAGTGTTCACCCAATAATGATCGTTGAATACAGAGCCTTAACTAAATAGCTGGGTCCTTTCCAAAACGTTACACCTCATTTGATTTATAGTTTAGTCCAATGATAAATCTCTTTTTAACGCTGGGTTTGGTCGCAACCAGCCGCAGATTTCCAGAGACATTGCATGCCAGATTGCACTTTACAGCTGATTTGGTGTGCAAATCAAGTCAGGGGATCCCACTTGTTTTAGCATTCATCCTCTGGGGACCATGAATTTCATGGCAATTTACTGAGACGGTTCTGCCCATTGTTTGAAAATGAAATATCTTTTTTTTACCGGTTATTTGACAGGGTGCATCTTAAAAGCTACAGTCATTTCTTTATCTCACAGATTTCTAAAGTCTGTTAAGAAGAAAAAACGATTTGGTTAAGACCAAAGTTATAAATCTTTGGCTGTGGGAATATAAGGTCTTGCCGTGCAAATATTTAATCACTTTATGTAGACTTCTGTGAGTTCACAAAATAACATTTGAAGATGCAACCTGGTGATCGATAACAGGTAAAAAAATATAAATACATTTACCCCTAAGGTTTACATACAAATCCCGGAGTAACATACTTTCCTGAAGTCATAAATGGGGGTTTGTCTCTACCTCATCCCGTGAATAACTGGCTACTAGACATTACACTTTCAAGATGCCCAAAAACAAAACCTACAAGCTATAAAGAGGCTCACTAAGAAGTCAAATATTATGGTTTTAACCTCTGATCTATTTGTATTTATCTGTAACATGGCCCTGTTGTAGATTAAATGCACAAAACCCTGGCAGCACAAGGCCAGAGCGTCACAGAGGAACAGAAAGAACAACACAACAGCAGGTCAGAAGAGACGGTGACACACTGACAGAAGCCTGAAGATGTTTGACAGGTGGAAGCAGGTGAACCAGAAGTGACTGAGGCGGGGGGGATAGGGTGTTAGGGGGGAAGGAGTGATTTCTACTATAGGCGACTCGGGCGGACATTTTCTTTCCCAAACCGTAGTGGAGGGGAACATGTCGCCGAACATCTCGTACATGTCACGGAACGTCATCGCGCCGCTTCCAAAGGGGGAAAGATGGTAGGAGGAGGCCATGAGAGAGCGAATGGAGATTTCGCGAGGTGAGGAGGCGGAGTTACATGATAACAAGAAAGGCGGCAAAATCCAAAAGAAGAAGAATGGGAGGGGGAAAAGAGGAAAAAACAGAAATCCTTGTTAATAAGAATTGCCATGGGAGATAGATGATTGGATACCACCTGGTTGGATCCAAGATATCAGGAAATCGGATGCCCAAAGGAGGAGAGGGGGGAATGCCCGAGACCGCGCTGTGCATAGACGCTGGAGAAGAGGGGAAGATATGCATTTGGGGAACGAGACGCGCAATTAATTGTTAAGAGCCACTGAAGAATTGATCTTATTGTTGAGTTACAGCACCATTCACCCGGCCTGGCCTCTTAGAGAAGTTTACAGCTTTGATTGCGCCTAGGAACAATGGATTCCAAGAAGGCAACCAAGTCTGGGAAATCTTCCTAAACCGCTCCAGCAAATAATCACCTTCCTCGCTGTGAGCTTTACTATTTGCTATCTCCATTTCAATAGATTACTGTATAACTGCATGCAGCAGAGTTGCAGGACTATTTTATGTGCAAGAGAAGAAGAAGGATACCGACGTGGTAGGGCTGCTCAATTAATTAATCGTATTTTAATCGTGGATTACGATTATGGCTTGCAACGATTACGAAACAACGTTTGAAATTAAAACGAGTGAATCCTTTTATTATTATTAACTTTTTTTTAATACACTTTATTTATTTATTTTTTTAGTTGTGAATTATACTTAAAGTTCAGGGTAATCAACTGTTAAAAATATACTGTTACAAAAAATGTTCTCCAATAAATGGATGTTTTCAAAGTCAATGAATAATTGCATTTAATAATCGCAATTACAATTATTGACCCAAATAATCGAGATTATGATTTTTGCCATAATCGAGCAGCCCTACGACGTAGTGTATCTAGCTCTACTTTTCAAAAATATTTGTTTAGTTTTTTCCTTTCTCCCACTGAGGTTGGGATGTTTACTCCCAAGAGAAGGCTCTTATTGAGTTTATTTAGAGACTTGAGTGTTATGCTACAATTCACAAAACAGAAATGACGTGTTTGGAACATACTGAAATAATGTCTCAAAAGGAACGAAATGAATTATTGCAGGAGTGATTCAAGAGTTTTCTGTTTTTCTCTCTTTTTGCCATGACCCTGAGTCATTGAAATACTTAATAACCCCAGCTGACTGTAGCTGTTGTTCTGCTCAAAGGAGGAGCTGTAGACTTTCAGAGCCACTTTTAAAGGTTGTTTTTATTTAGCCTAAAGATAGATTTTCAGTGGAGTATTTATTTAGCATGCCCTCTGTTTCTGCATGCTAAGAGACATTAGTGGTGACCAGAGTGGAAACAAAGCGCACAATGCTCTCTTCACTACCCACTCATTTAAAAGCAGGGACGTATTTTAGACATGGCATGAGATGCCTCTTGTTTGAGGCTGACTTGCGGCATTGTTTCGTGCACTCTCCATGGTTACCTGCCAACTGGTTAGTGGAGGATCGATGTGTTTCAGTATGCATGTGTGGTCGGGTCATTCTCAGGGAATGAGAACACACTCAGTCCGAAACCATCACAGTCCCTTTGAAAAGAAAAGGACTGTGTGGGAGTGCAAACCTTATAAGCCACTCTGTTAGGGCACTTCTTCCCCAGGCCCAGGGGAGGGGAGATAAAACGCAACAATTTGTACATATCCTGATAGCATATCCTCCCGCTGTGAAAAAACAAGACATGTTCAACAGTTTAGGTCACAGGTTATGTCATTACTTGAATAATCTGTTAGCAACGAATAAACATTAAGGTAGATACTTAAGGAGTTGCAGTACAAAGGAAACAAAGACTACTTTTCCTCAATAGATCTGTATTTTGTGGGGTTCATTTTGACTTTTTTAAAAATGCACTTTTTTCTCCACATTTTTCATTTTCTTTTTCCCTCAGGGTTGTAGCCATCAATTACAGCAGTGCCTTTCAGAATTTCCTTTTTTAAAAGAAAGGAAATTATATTTTTTAAATATTATTTTTCATGTGATAATATGTGGAGTAATATTTCATCTTTATTGTTTTTGTTTACAATAGTCATGTATATTATGTGTAAACATGCTGGAATCATAATTTTTATATAACAAAATGTGTAATGTTAAAGTCCCCATTCAAATTCCCCAAATAGCTATGGAGTATACTTTTAAACTACGGTAAATAACTTTTGGATGAAGATGCATCAAATGTTGAAATCAGTTTAAACAGTTTTCTGAGCCTTAAATACTTTTTTCACTGACATATCAATGAGTAAAAGTAGTCGAACACTGGCTGAATGTAACTGTCGGCACATCTCTGAGACTAGCTCATTTATATTCAAAGGAATAAATAATAATTCCTCCCCCGTAATGTCTGTCAGGAGATGGCAATTTTGCATTTCACATCTCACACCTCTCTTGGAGTCCTGACTCACTGACAAGGCTCCTGTGAAAACTTAATGAGCCTTACATAATCTGAGATAGATTAGGCCTCACACTGTCTCAGGCAGAATTTGATTGTGCCTCAGTCCCGTTAAACACTGACAGTGTGCGGGGCAGAGAGGGCGCAGACAACAACCTTTATTCTCCCGTTAGAGGGATAGAAATGTTCCTCTTCAGTGACAGAGAGAGGAGATTTGGAGCCTGCAAGCTTATAGGCAATGGACGCCGAGCGAAACGCTGGATTTACATGCATCAGTCCGGCCGACAGTGGGCTCGCCACCAGCCACCGCCAACGCCGCGCTCAGGCTTAGCGTCATCAATTCACCGCCTCTAAAATGGGATTTCTCCGGTAGTCATCCTGCTGGAACTCGCAGCTTAGAGTTCCCCGTTTCCTATTACACCTCTTATAAACACAAACACCTTGCTATTTTGCACAGAAACTGGCTGATATTGGGGACTATACTGTAGCTGTACAGGTCAGAGGTGAGCAGGAGCACTTACCAGGCAGCAGGGTCGTACTCTGCCCACACGCGGATGAATTCATCGAGGTGATGAGGCCCAAGGATGGAGGCGTCCCTGGTCAGATACTCAAAGTTGTCCATGATGACAGCGACAAACAGGTTCAGCATCTGGAGAATAAAAACAATAGATAAAGTGTCAGATAATTAATAATAACAAGGACAATTGTTTCTACGGTAAAAATTAGACCGTTAGGATCATATTCATGTTTTTAGCCCCAAAACTGCACATTTTATCAGAGTCTACTAGATGTTTTTCTTACTTTATCGCAGGTATTTAAATCACATTGTATGATTTTGCCCATTTCATTGAATACATTTATTTTTAAATAACAGAACAGGGAACTGAAAATAGAAATAACCAGGGTTTCTCAATTTATAAGGGATTATTTTCATTTTTTAAATCTCTTCAACTGTTTCCACTTGCTGAATTATTTTTGTCTATACAAATCAATTAATATTACACACAATTTTGATTAAAAAGTAAAAATACCTTTGGGAAAATGGTTCACTGTTAGCAGCTCATTTGCATTTTCATATTCTTTAACCGTTTGCATTTTGTAAGCTGTGCTCATTCTAAGCCTACCTTGTTTACTCCAATCAGTGTCTTCTCACAGCATGCTAAAGGATCATTTCAAAGTGCATAAAATCTGGGTGGAAATAGCCATTACATTTCCATATAATATTCAGTACACTCAGAACACGCAGCATGAAAACAGATGGCGTGTTTCCCTTCACACTGACCAGGAAGGAGCAGAGGAAGATGAAGGAGACAAAGTAGAAGTAGGCAAAGTCACTTCCACACTCTTTCCCCACGGTTCCTGTGAGGTCATCACATGGCCGGTTACTGAGACACGCCAACATGATATCCTGCCACGCCTCGCCCGTCGCACTCCTGAAACACACACACAGGAGTTATCAGTTAATATACTGGATTTTTCAGACAGCAATATTTTTTGGAATCTAAAAGCAGGATTACCTGAAGAGAAGAGTCAACGCCTGGAAAAAGGTCTGGAAGTTGTTGTGCTTATTTATTTCGTTCTCATCAATCAGTTTAATGTTTCCAAACACCTGAAGAGGCAGGAGAGCAGCTGGTTATTGAATGCACCAACAATGAAAAGTCAATTGATTACAGAGTTCTGCCCACTCCTCAAACTGAGACCCAAACTCAGACCACACCCACGACATTAAAGCGACTGGCTCGGAGTGATATACATATTTCCTTTCCAAAACACTTTTGGCTATTTCAGAGGACAGATTTCTGCATTTCTTTTTTGTCTCTGTTCATCTCCCTGATTTGAAGTGGGCGGGAGAACATAATGTCATACTTGTTTGCACCAATCAGGATCTAGATTTGTTTTAATAAGAATCTAATGAAAGCTGCCTAAACAGCTCTAATCAAACAGAATCATTTAAAATACATTAAATCAAATCAAGTTTTATTTATATAGCACATTTTTAAACGATTTTTGGTCGAGCCAAAGTGCTGTACATATAATAAAAAATAACCTACAGTAAAGAAACTTTACAGCAAATACAACAGAAGTTTGTGCAGAATATCAGTTGAGAAGACGACACCCTCTGTCCATTACACTTTAAATGTGATTGTTGTTTATTTATTCATAGCTATATAGTGCTTAAGAAGATTTAAACAAGGTAATAGGCTTCAAGACGGACCCAACTAAGCCTAGTGTCCACAGATTTCAGACTGAAGACCCCAAACTGTATTCAATACCTACAATCATTTTGCATTTTATTATATACATTGTGTTCCTTTTCTTTTGTTTATTTTACAAAGTATGTTATGCCTATGGTAGCTTTTGTACGAACAGCTTTGGCTGCACGGTACTTTTAGTCATTAGAGAAAAGGGAAAATCCGTATTGTTCATCTGAATACATGTGAACTTCTCAATGAAGTCTAAAGTTGTATTTCTTAGATATAAATTCTATCTATGTATTATTTTCCTTATCTGTCACTCGTGCAATATATTCATTATCACAATGTTGTATCGTCCCAAAGCGAGTAAAACAACCCAGAGGTCTCTTTTTAAATATTTATTTGCCCCTGGGCATGTCCACCCTGCTGGCCTGAAACCCCTGGCTGCTGGGCGAGGAGACGTCTGCCAGCCGTCAAATATGAATGTAGCATCTTGACCCTGTGCAGTACGACACCAACAACTAACTTCCTCTGCACCCGAACAGTGACAATGTAAGAGAAATGAAAAGTAGATTATCCTCCATCAGCTACCTGTAAAAACACCTGCACAATCTTATGCAATCCAAGGCAATAGCCATGCAACATATACTTGTTTTGTGAAATATTGAATATTACATTTTCACTGAGACTGTGTCAGTATGTGTGGATGCAGCGCTAGCTTTTAAAGGAAATGTTTGTGGTGTTGTTCTGGAGGACATTAACGCTTAAACAACACTTTTATAGCAACACAGCCAGGGGCGGATCTAGACAAATATGCATGGGGTGGCAAGAAGGTGGCAGGAGATTTTGAGGGGTTGCATCCCCTGGCAGAAGTATATGCTGATTTAATTGCAGTCATATCAATCAATGTTAACTTGGAAAGCCGCAATATTAATATTTGAACTGAATAACATTAGGTGACATTATTGTGGCACATCAGTAAAGCCTTACATATAAATATATAAGGTGGCAGACATGATTTAATGAATTTGAACTGAACAATAACTGAATGAGTTTGTTTCACTCTTAGACCAGCAGGGGTACCAAATCTATGCAGACTGCTCCAATAATTACATTAATTAACTGCCTCGTCGATGTTTTTCTGAATTAATATGATAATATTAACAATCATATTATTCCTATCAGCTGTCAATCACTGTTATGATTCACATATTCATTTATTATTGAATAAACTATATTTTTTGGAGGAGTTAATGATGAATGTTCCTCAAGATGCTTGCTCACCCTCCTTCAAATTTGAAAGACAAGAAATTATATCATGTATCAAAATTCAAAAGATTCAAAGGAACAGTTCAGCGCCCCACGACTTTACTGCAAACAGTTACAACCTTGATTTTACATCAGAAAGAACAAACATTAAAGAAGTGACTAACTGCATCAATTAGGGTTAAAAAAAGTGTATTCAGCTAAAACATGTACATCGCTGCTGTAATTATCCAGTGGAAAGTCCTTACCTACTGGCCTAGTTAAATCAAAGTGGTTACTTTTTTTTGGCTGGGCAGTGAAGTTTTACACACCGTCTTATTTGACTTTCTCAGGACTTAAAACTGTTTTTTTCTCTCATAAATGTCCGATGAGCCACAACTTTTCTTTCAAAACAAAGATGCCAACTGGGGTGGCAAGGCTATTTTTTAGGGTGGCAGTTGCCACCCCATGCCACCCTGGTAGATCCGCCCCTGAACACAGCGACAAAATAGCTAGCCAAGTTTAGCCTAGTCGACAACTTGTATCTTGATCACGCAGGCTGCATGGGGCCCCGCCTTGCCAAGGGGGCCCCGCCAGAGGGCCTCAGCTCTCCGCGTTTTCCGCGCAGTTCAGCCGCGAGGTTCCGCTGCTCTGATGGGGGTCCCCATCATACAATCCCGCTTGGGGCCTCAAGTTGGCCAGGGGCGGCCCTGTTCATTATACATAACGTTCTTCTATCAGGACATGTTGTAATGTATAATTGTATCCTTTCTGGATAATGTGACCGTAGAATGATTTAATAGTAAAGGTGTAAGCCATCCCAGGCATCTCTGAGAGGAATGTTAGCAGAAAAAGGTAAAGACAGCTGGGGTAACTGGGGTAACTGGGGTAACAAGGCTGTGTATCTCCTCCATACTGAACATCCATCACTGAATCATTACAGTCTAATCCAATCCACTTTATTTATATAGCACATATTCAAACAGAGGGTTTTACCGAAGTGCTTCACAGCAGACATAACATTATAATAAAATATAATATTACAATAATAGATAAAAGGCACACATAAGAATAGATAAAAAGGCACATAAGGTCTATGGACAGACAAATAAAAGCATAACAATCGACTAAACATAGCTCAAACTGACTAAAGTCTAACTTCCTTTAGTCCAGCTGCTCATATTCACAACTCACCTGCATTCCAATGATGGCGTAGATGAAGAACAGCATGGCAATGAGCAGGCAGACATACGGCAGAGCCTGAAAGCAAACAGATGAATAGAGTTAAAAGACACTGAGAGACACACACAACCTCTTTCGTGATCTTTCCGTCTGCCTCTGCACACACACTCACACATCGAATTATTCAAAGAGGACCAGTGCCCTTGTAAGATTGTACAGTCTTATTTAACACTAGAACCGCCAGAGGTCGCTGTATACCTAAAACTGCCAACGGGTCACATTTACCCGCTATTGATTTTCAAGGTACAATGTTCTTTTATTTATCATACAGAACAGTGAGTTTTGATCGCACAGGGATGAAACTTATACGTTTCTTGGCGATTTTTTCAATCTGACTTCATATTGACAACTTTTAACAACAGAGGGTGCTACATAACACACTTTCAGGAAAAGCCACGGACTGGGAGACTTTAATATTTTATTGAAAAATAGTTACATACAATCAAAAAACAGCTGCGGGTAAAATTGACCCCTTGGCGGTTCTAGTGTTAAGAACCTGCGCAGTCAACCTGACCTGCAGGTTCTGTTTTTTTAAATCAGCTATTTTTATCTCAGCGAGGAGGACGCGACAATTTGTTGTAATTAAAAGCCACCTATTAACACTCTGCATCTACTGTCCATTTCCATTGGGCTTAAAAGCTCTCACCACTGACATTAAACCTGCTATAAATTCCTTCGACCGTGCCCCGGCGCTCCGCATTTAACTCGACTTGTCCCAGAGGATTTGGAGAGCGAAGCGGCACTCTGTGAAAATCCCAACTACTGTCTGCAAAGAGCTATTTAGATCCATTTAAACATAGCAAGTCTGCTTTTAAAGTGCGTTATACCAAAGCTTGTTTTTTGTGTAACATCATTTTGTTCAACCGTGAATACATCTAACACACAAGCTCAACATTATAACCTATTGAATAACATTTGTATTCCACTTGTGTCTTTCCTGACTGAACTTCTCTCATCGCTTTTGGTGGAACACCTCTTTTGAAATCTGCTACATAAATCAATCAAGTTTTACACACATACCAAGAGGCACTGTTAGTCTGTGTGTGTAGGTAACTGTGTGTTCACCTTGAAGGACTGAACGAAGGTCCACAGCAGGATACGGATGGTGTATCCCTGCCGCAGCAACTTGATGAGGCGCGCAGCTCTGAAGAGCCTCAGGAAACTCAGGTTGAACATCATATTCTGGGAGGCAAAACAAAGACAGTGTGAGGTAATTAACCCAACATAAAAAGGATCTGAAGACACAAAATAAAACTCTTGGAAACAAAACAAAAAAAGGTATAATTCAAAAGCAAAAGAAACACACTCCAAGTTTGTACAGATACAGTTCTGCTTCAGCCACTTGGTCTTGTATTACCATTTGCTTATGGTGGCTAACGTTAGCAAAACAAAGGTAAATATTGGAAATTATCTGAGGCTACGTGCACACTTAATCTTTTAAAGTTAGAAAACAGCATTTTCAAACCCCTAAAACATCATCAACTACTTTCTTTTTTATGTATCACTGCGCAGAAGGAAGTGCAAATCTATTGACAAGTAGCTTATGACGGCTAACGTTAGCAAACCAGTAGATAGCTATAAGTAGTGACATAGTTAAGGCTACATGCAGAGTAATACTTCTACTATCGCTTAACCCCTAAAACATCATCAAACAAATCCTTTCTTTCTAATACATCACTACACAGAAGGGAGTGTGTATCTTTTCAAAATTAGCTTATGGTGGCTCTTTTTTCAAGTCATTAGAAACAATTTTCTTTCAAATGTATCACTCAATTATTGAACATTAGGTTAATGCGCACAGGTTTGTTGTTGAAGTATGGTATAAAGAAAATAGTTCCTACATAAAAACTACAAACAACAAGGTCGTGGATTATTTTTGAGTAACCTGCTCTTGATTTCAGGAAAGAGATATTGCTGTTGAGCTTTTCTAAACTTTATTTTTTTTTTTTACCACAAGCCAAGTGCCATCAAGTTTTACTATATTGGAGAGAAGGCAGACATAACTACGACCGACACCTCCAACACTCTGCAACTCACCCCAAAACTGTCCAAATTAATAAAAAGCATTACACAGAGGACATTTTATTTTTGTTTTCCAGTTTGACTGTCACTTGTTCTTTATATCTACAGTCTATGGTTCTGAACAACATGTCATCCAACAGATGTAGACTGTATTTCTAGGCTCTAAAAGTATTGTTCAACAACCATTCAGACATGGTAGTGATACTGTATAGTATAATCTACTTTCAATACAGAACAACCAGACTAAATGACTGCATTTAACTTCAGCTCTGGTCTACGGAAGAGGATTAGGGCCACATGATTTCTTTTTTTGGGAGGATTTGAAAAAAAACCTCTTTTTTTTGGAGAAAAAAGTCAGAATTCTGACTCTAATCTCAGAATTCTGACTTTTTTCAGAAAAAAAAAAAAAAAATTCAAATCCTCCCAAAAATAATAATAATGTGGCCCTAATCCTCTTCCGTACTGGTCTAACTGAAATTGCTCCAGATTTTTATGTCGCTTTTAAACCAAACAATCTAACAATTGAATGGGGGTTTTTCTGTAGGATTCAGTAGGTAGGCAATTTAAACTGTGGGAGAAACAAACGCACTCTGACGGGGGAATTGACCATATCAGCAGGCAACAAGAAAAGCCACTTACCGTCTGGAGGTGTCAGATGTGACAGAGGGGGCCGAGTGAGGGCACAGGCACCAGGACACACACAGCAGAGGATGGAAACAGCGAACGAGAAAAACACACAGCAGAGGAGAGACAGAAAAGAAGACTAATGATCACATCAACAAGAAAGTCAGACAAAGAGAGCGCTTTTTCCACAGAGAAAGCAACAGAACTTAGCCCTCTATCTCCACAATCAAAAACTGTTCATTCTCCATCTGATTTCAACAGAGGAAACTAAATGCTGCAAATGGTAACAGCAATATTTCTCCGCCTGAAGTCCAATTTATTGATTTGCATTATTTCATTTTTTTTCGCTTACAGTTTTCTCTGCTGAGTTTGCATTTGAGGACTGAGATTGTGGGAGCAGAGCAAACTTTAATATTTGTGGTTTTGCAGCTAAAGTGGTTTGAAGAAATTGGTTTTGTTTGAAAAAAACAACAATTAAGAGACCCATCTTGAATAACCACAACACATAATACAACACACATAAGTCCTTAAACAATAAGTCAAATACGTGTTTGCAAGAATTTCCAAAATGTGTCAATACTTCAAAGTTGTTAACGTCTTGATCAGCTTTCTGACATTTTACAAGTATCAATTGATCAGTCAGCGTAGAAATTACAGAAAAACAAACAGATAATAAAACTAATCATCACTTGTACACTTCTTCTACCTTCCCATTATGTTTTAGCTACAGAGGGTAAAAGGCTTTTATTTGAAGCAGGTTTTAGAGAGAGGCCAATTTCGACAAACCATCAGAATTCATTGTAAATTAAAGGTCCCATGTCATGCTTTTCCGGTTATTACCCGTCCCCTTGTAAACGGTCTGCAGAGTCAAAACTCTCAAAGTACACCCTGTAGCGAGTAAAACTCTAACACAGAAAATTCCTCCCCAAAACGCCTCGTTGGAGATACGTCACTGTCCATTGATTCTTCCGGGTAACTCATGATGTCATGCGTTACCAGGAACCAAATGGACCAATCCGTGGAGCCGTTACGTTAAGCCCCCGCTGATTGGTCCAAATTGACCAATCCACGGCTTCCTCACACACACACTCAGTGCAGGCAGCTCTGCTGATCTCTCCTCCCTGGCTGCAGGCTGATAACAGACAGTTGGGATCGCGGCGAAATTCTCTCTGCAGACCCATTCTCACAGCGTTTATCAACCTTTTTCTTACTCAATATCAAGCCACACTTATTGTTTTTACTTCGGCTGTGACTTTGTGTGTGCTCAGGGTGAGTTTGGCTGTGTTTCGCTGTGTATCGCTAAACAAGGAAACCACACCTCCACGGAGCTCAGCGCGATTCACAACGTTCCGACCAATCAGAGCACACTGTGCTCACAGGGAGGGTGGGGGCTGGAGCTATTGGAGCTACAACGAGCCGTTAAAGGCAGAGAGTGAAGTTCAGTGAATACACAGTTTACAGAGATGCTGTATGAGAAACCAAAGTGATTTTGGAAAATTGCACAGCACAATATAAATCTATTCTAGTAGACCTCAACAATGGAATTATGATCAGTGGAAATGGCCATGACATGGGACCTTTAAGTCCATGAACTTAGATTTTACATTTTACAAAGACCCAGCCATTATAGGGGACCTGGCTTTTATTGGATTACATCCTTCATTTGAGAACTTTCAGTAAATCTCCTTCCTGTATCCCAGCATGCTGCAGCAGCTATAAATATGCATTGACTCCTGATCAAATGTACAAAGTGACAGGTACAGGTACCTTAATCTCTGTCACCAAGATGTCTGTGATGCTCCCCAGCACGGTCACAAAGTCAAACACGTTCCACGCTGCTTTCAGGTAGTTCTGAAACACAAGATGAGTTCATTCAAACGTTGTTATGTTTCTGAGTGTTTTCGGCATTCTTTGTTGTGCTTTTCATGTTTTAATTAAAGTGTGAAACTGTTCAAACTAGGGCTACAGCTTTGATTTGTTATTTTTGAGCAAGAAATGACTAATCTGATCAAATAGTTTGTTTTGTCACACAACACAATGACTGCAATTATGAAGCAGTACATAATCAGCGTACTGTGATAAAAAAAACATTAGTTTAAAATCCTCAACTATTAGTTGATTGTCAAAATTGTTGCTGATTATAATTTTTTCGATTCTATTAAATTACTTTTAATCAAACCCATGACTTTTGATGGCTTCTTGACCTCAGACATTTTTAATAAATCTTTTTTTCAAACTTTGAATAGTTACCTATTCTATCTATTTTTAATCACCGTTTATCAACATTTCGGTAGATTTCATATAGAATTAGATATAATTAGTGTCATAAAACTGTCTTTGTAAAACAAAAGCACACAACCTGTGCAAGAACTTCTCATATTGCAGTTTACAGTCTTGGAATTTGTTTACATTTACAAATGTGGAGATGCAAAAGTTGCATGGGTTTAGACTTTAGACAAAATGTCGATAGATGGAAAAATAATATCGCAAGAACAAAACAAAAATAAATAATAAATACAAACACACCAAAACACACAGAGCTCTAAACATTCCCTTGGGCACACTTATTTGTATGTGCATATACAAAATAACAAATGCTGAAACAATCCCCTGCATAAATAAATATCCGCCTGCAGCCTGGCTCCCTGCAGACCGGTCAATCCTCCTCCTCCTGAGGCTGCAGCCGAGGAGCAGCAGAGTGTTTAGACCAGCTGATGCGAGTCCATCCGTCTGGGCTTAACAGCTAAACAGGTGGAGGCCAGTGGTGTGTGAGAAAAGCCATTTAATAAATGGGCCTGGTAAATGGAACGGAGTTGAAGATGAAATGCCTCGCTGCGGGCCAGACGACCCCATGTTGAGGGAAGATTTATTATTTCTCATCCCTTCTTTTTTTTTCTAGTCTGCCTTCCTAGTTGCTGAATTTCAGACTTTAAACCTTTTACTTTGACTGTTTAGTGACTTCTCGCCCATCCTCTGCAAAAACCTTTTGTACTTTAGCACAGACAAAATCACAATCCCTCTGACATCTCTTCAAGTGTGACTAAAGGCGCGTTCACACCAAGTACTTTTCCCACAAAGGTTCCTGAGAACTACGATTTAGTTGCGTTCACACCAAAAAGTCCCAGGAACTAAATTAGTCCCACTTTCGTGGGAGAAAAAGGTTCCTGTGTCTGATTGGCTGGGCGGAATGCAAACCACGCCCCGTCAAACTCCCAAAAACGTTTGTGAAGCCGCCATTTTATTATCCTCGCATTGCATTATTAACATTAGCATTAGCCCAGCGCAGAAACGCAGAGAGACTAACTTATGACAACACAAAATAAAACATGGGAGCGGTGGAGATGAGGAGGGGTCGGCGTTCTGGCCATTTACTCTGGGAGTCCCAGCAGCGTCTACTGAAGCCAGTCCCTAACTCCGGAGATTTCCGGCTGGGGATTTTGGGCGGCAGTATACGCCGTGAAGCTGTTTGCGGCCTGCCAGTAAGCCCAAAGCAGAAGAAGAAGAAGTGACGTCAGCGGCTTCATTTGCCTAATCCACCCCCAGGAACTAATTTCCGGAGTGAACGCGATCTGTACTTAGTTCATGAGAACTAAAGAGTTCTCAGGAACCTTTGTGGGAAAAGTACTTGGTGTGAACGCGCCTTAAGTCTTAGTTGCTTCATTCAAAAAAGACCCTCTGCGTCTCTTTAAGTACTAAAGACGATCTAAACATCTGCTTTTAGCATTCACAAGGCAGGCATTTAATGAACTGAGCAGTGAGAGCAGCTTGATGCAAGAGTCACCCTCAGCCTGATTTTTATTTCCAAAGAGAGATTTCCCGCTCGTGTGTAAACAGAAACACAATACAACAGTGAATAATGTTGTGGTGTCAGCAGGGCCCGGCGCAGCATACGGGCTCACCAGCGGGCCGAAGGCAATAATCTTGAGGAAGCACTCCAGTGTGAAGAGGGCTGTGAAGAGGATGTTTAAGTATTTCAGCATGGACTCGTACAGGTCTGGAGCGGGGTAGCACTGAGGACAGAAGACAAAAACTGATATTATTCCTGTTGCATCCTTTACCCCTATGTAATGTTCACATGAGATAGCATACAGAAAACTGAAAATGTAAATGCAACCAGCACTCGAGACCAATTATATTTGATTGCTCAGATGCACTCAGGATCTTTAAAGGGTGTACATATACTGTCAATCACAGCTGCATACATACATTTTAATATATTATCAGTAAGCGCTGTGGGAGGCTGATCTAACCTTTCAATCACTTAGGAATTTGTCACATTTGTTCACAGATAAAGTTGTAGGTTAAAAAATAATAAATGGTTTTATGACATTAATATATATTATTTTGGCAGCACAGGACACACTGATGGAGCAGCACTTTAGTCAGTAGCAAACTTAATCTACTTTGACTTTAATCTTTGCTTTCACACGGTTTGTACTTTGTTGGAAGTCAACCTCTTTACATCTCTGTGTGAAGTTTGTACTTTTGTTATTCTTCCTTTAACAAAGATGTGCCTGGTTGACTGAAATGTTTCTCAAATTAGCAGTATAAAAAATGCTGGTACAAAAGGATTTCTCATTGGGAAATATGAATGTGTCTTAATGAACAGTATGTCAAGTGTCTAGGTTTAAATTATTATGATGAAATTACACTAACATTAGACTATACATTGGAAGTCACTGGCCGTTTTTCAATCGCGAGGAAACTGGCTTCCAAGCCAATATTTCAAGGATACTACGTCATCGAGTGCCGCCGAAGGACTGTTCCAATCTCCAGCATACTTGGAATTCCACCGAGGCCGCGTCCTTAATTTTGGGGTAATTTCGAGGCTGCACATGGGTAGACTTCGCGTCCTTCAAATCCCCACAATGCTTTGCGCAAGGACCAATTTCCCTGGAAAATGTAAGGCGGGGCCTCTCATATGATGCACACCTGCTAGCCTGTTCCACTCTTCGTTTTCCGAATGCCAGGAAGGATTCTTGCCTAGCTTCTGAAGGAAGTGACTCGGAAGACATGTGCTACCAAGCAAGCATCCTCGTGATTGAGAAACGGCCCGTGTCTTGTCATGTGTTGACTAAACATGATTTCTTGAATCGGTCCATATCTAAATAGTTGTTTATTACAAGTGTAAGGGAAACTTCTGTAGCAATGGAGAGTCAGGACTCAGAGAGACACGAGGAGAGCTGGAGCTTTGATGTCAAACACTGATCGTTTATTTAGGAGTATCGGCCGGAGGATTCACATCACAACTCACAGCAGCCAGAGGTTCTGACTGCACGGGAGAGTTGCCACGTCAATCCTGAAGCGCCTCTCTTTTGCTAGACCTTTTAATAGGTTCACAGAGAGTAATCAACATAGTGGGGGGGGATAAACTAAACATCTGGGAACACTAGAGATAGCCTAAACATCTGGGGACACTAGATCACTTGTCTGACCCTCATGTCCTCGAAGATTACACCTTGGAGTCCACAAACACCGAGAAGGAAGTGTTCCAGCGTTCTCACAACCATAAACCATTTGTGACCGAGAGTTGCCCGGTCATAAACTAGGAATATCAACATATAGTTGGAGCAGCACATTCCTTAAAGGTGACCTATCATGCAAAATGCACTTTTGTACGTCTTTGATACATGAATATGTGTCCCCGGTGTTCCAGGGAACTCACCAAGTGTCAGGAAAAACACAACCCTCTCTATTTTCCTCGGTACCCAAATCTCTTAAAAAGGGCTGCAACGAATCTGATACAGACTGATCCAGATTTGAACACTTCTGTGACGTCACAGAAGTGGCGCTACGGCTATTGGGCCAACTCCACCAATCAGGAGGAGACAGCCACGGACATTGCCGTTCGAAAGCGCTGGAGACGCTGTAGTCCATATGCCAGGCCTGTAGATGGTGCTGTTCTCACAGAATCAGCCCATGCAAAGACAGTGTTAAATTGAGCGAAATGAGGAATGGCTAAAATGCATGATGTGTTTGGTATTTTGAAAATAAAAAGTATAAATATGCCTTATATAGGTCCTATATTATTCAATGACGTAACAAAGTTACCTTGATTAAAAAAGAATAATACAATTAATGTCATAGTTCGATTAGATAAATAAATACTTTA